GCGGGGCGGGGGGCTGCCGCATCGTCTTGTGTGCTTTACAACTATCTTATTCGCGTCGGCTGCTTGATGACAGATGATAAACTATAGTGGCCGCGGGTACACGGACCTGCCCTAGCGTTCCTACACGGGCCTACTCTGCTTTCCCGTGCTTGTCTCGCTCCTTATGAGGCCTTCGTAGGGCTATTCCCCTGACCTCTGTTTAGACCTGGCCTCGCTTATAGCTATTCTGACTAACCCTAAACCCTATATATAATTATTATACTATATATATATTATCAGAAATCAGCTAAACGCAGCCAGGTCAACAGAAGTCAAGGGGGGACATAGACCCAACGAGCCTAGCACGTGCCACGTGCCTATCACGTAAACACAATTCATTCACTTCTTACACAATACATTGCATATAGATTTTCTGTTCACGGTGCTTATATATTGCTGCATGGACGCTATTCGATTAGTGCGTACCTGTTGCTAACAGTTAACGGCATGACCATAAAACAAGACTATGAAGGTCTACGGTGGATTTCCTCACGCGGCACGATATATGCGGTCGTAACTGTGTCCTTTATCGCGGTTCATCTAATTTGTCTTGTATAAATCCGTGCGCGGAATCCGACGCCTCGACAGCCAAGCGGTCATGATGGATGGTGCGTATGAAACGATACAACGCATGCATAAAACTATACTGTGCACGCCATTATACCTTAGTGATGGAGCGTTATTGCGGGCGTTGGAACCCAGGGGCCATGACGGCCAGTTCATAGACATTACCGCAACCGGTTCTTCTTTCACGCAAATTGGTCGAGTAGAAACTGAGCAGTCGCGTTAGCGTGTGGGGACTTGATTGCATGGCATCCATGCCGGAAGAAGCGCCACCGGTCTGTTCTGCGTCTGTGCGTGCCGAGAAGGTTCGCTGCCAAAAACACACAACACATACACATATATATATCGTGAAATAATGTTGCAGATATATGTGACTTCTGGAAACATGCCAAGACTGTCTTCAGCTCAATAAAGAGCTATACGAAACGCACAAAACTGGCCGGGCTCGTCTTGGCACTCATGCCATAATAGCGTGGCTCACACCTGTGTTACACTCGGCGGCCATAGTAAATTCCCGCTTAGCCGATTCCATATACGATATACGTACTAGCACCGCAGGACACGTATGCAAGAAGACGTGGATGCAACGTACGTTCTGCCAACGGCAACTGACGGGGAACTTGACAAGCAAGGCGGAACGCATACATCATGATTAGGCAAAGCGGCTCATTAGGCGCAAGGGCGCATAGCGCGTATTATCTCTATTAGCGCGTATAGCGCCGCGCAGGGGACGGATCCAGAGGGTTTGGGTGACCAGTTTCCATAGTTCTATCACAGCTAGCTGAGCGTCCGGGCGGGCTCGTTTCTGTTTTCCCAGTCACATATCCAGTCGCAAGAATTTAGCGCCTTCTGTTGGTTCTGATTGGTTCATCTGCCTCCTGGATTGTTCAAAAAACAGCGCGTGTTGCTTATTTAGCAATATGTCATGTAGCGTTTCTTATATTATACCTTGTGTGGCGTGAGTGGCTAGGCCACCGGCGTTACTTCTGAAAGGTCGTTCGGTTCGAATCCGCCGTTTTGGTTTTCTTAATTATTTTTTGTTTTCTGTATTTTTCTATCTTTATCGCATTTAACTATTGTTATTCTATTAACGGAAATATGTTGCCATGATGATTTACACACAATTAAAATATCTTTAATTGGAAAATTTTTTTTTAATTAATTTAATTTCATTTATTAGTGTTAATTTAAATTAAATAGGGTTAGGGTTAGGTTTAGGATTAGGCGTTAGGGTTAGGGTTAGGGTTAGGTTATTATTGCCAAAATGAATTGCAATTCTTCGCTATGTTACCAATGGGCGTTGTTTTCTTGGTCAAAGGCAAAGCAAATCGAAGCAGCAATCAGAAGGCGCTAAATCCTGCGTCGGGATATGTCGACTGTGGAAAAATAAGAAACTCCTGGCGTCGCGGGGCATAGCCCCCTCTGCGGAATTAGGGTATATTTGGTGACATTCTGCGTGAATTTTGCAGCGGTCAATTCTGAAGTATACCCAGCCTCGTGACGGGGTTTCTGGAAAAACCGGTGCAAACCGGGCCTAAATCCACGGTCTGCCGGACCCCGCCGCACCGAGTTTGTTTTCTTGGCCGCTCCACTGTCACCAATCCCCGCAGGAGCGTACCTACTGACACCGGGCGACAGATCCTTGTCCCGCTCGGGCGGACCCACGAACTGGCAGTGCGCGCAAAATTAGCTGTGCCTTCTGATGCCAACGGACATACACACGTTATAGCATACACACATTACACGCGTACTACAGCGCCATATGTCTATAGAGCATACCAAATTTACACGTTATACGCTGGTGATCATGCAAAAAGTTCACACGAATTTATTCGAAATCAATAGGCGGTTTTGTTCATAAAAGTTGTATAAAGAATACGTACACAGTGTCTCAGATCGTCAGTTAAATTGACTACGTCACGAATTTTCTATGCGTAAAGTTTTGCTAAAATTTTTGTTGCATTTTTTTACGTGAAAGGTAGAAGAACTAACGGGACTAAACGTATCGCTCAAATTCTACCTATAAGATTGCTTCTTCAACTATGGTTAAAAATCCAAAAAAACCTGGACGATTTTGATATTAGTGTTCCTGACATTAATTGCTTGCTATGGGCTATGTATGCGTCACGAGTGTATTACAATTATTGTTCACATTGAACAAAGTAGAACATAGAACATTAAGTACAATGCAGCAATTTAACCATAAAAAGTGAACAGAATTTTTATTTTGTGATTTTTTTATTTATTTTTTTATTATATTTAACTGTAACTTATATGTGCTGTAACTTATTTGTAACTTTAAGTGTACATGTCTATTGACAGGGTACCCGCCTGATAGCGAATACAACACCGTATCTATCTATATTTGTTTTCAAATATTTGAACGCCACAACACAGAGATCAATAATTCAATATTATCCACTCCTGATATTATACATGTTCAAAGTTCTTTTCCTGTTGGAGTACCAATCTCTAGGTGCCTGAACTGCGTTACTGCAGAGTGTTATCGCTGCTGGATCGGCTCGGTACGTTACGTGGTATTGCCCGCTGTATTCATATACGCTGCTTTTATTTCTTCGTCTACAGCTCTAGGGAAGATCCTAGTTTGTTGCTGAGACGCAAAACGAACAGATGCAATGGTGCGAAAGGACGAAGGCTGGATCACCTCGAAGGGGCAAGTAGTATTGTAGTCATACAAACATAACGCGCAATACTATATGATCAGGAGTGGATAATAGCAAGAGCGTATTAAGAAGGAAGCAAGCAAGAAGAAGCAAGGAAAGAAGCAAGCTTCTTAATACGCTCTTGCTCATAGAGATAATAGAGATAGATCTCTATTATTCACTCCTGATATGATACTATCTGAAGTGAATTTCATTCGCTCCTGATGTTCTCATTAGTGGATGATATCAAGAACTAATAATAGCTAAATATTATTAGCTCTCGATAATATTAATAGCCTTCTTCTGAGGTTAATAAATTCTAAATCATGAGAAATTAGGAATGCGTTCACAACCATAACAAGAAAAGAAGAATTGGCTCATCTGTTTCTAACACTTTTTTTGCGTTTCACTTGCGTGGCAGTGAAACCAACTCCATAGAATGGACACCTGCCACATTTTTTTTGAGGGGGGGGTCCTATGTGTAAAACACACGCACAGGTTTAGCGTTATGAACACGGGACAATATTATGCACGGACGCGTGATTTTACAGCAATAATCGCACAACTATTGAAATCCACCACTCAATACAAGCATAAGAATTGGGGGGGGGGATTACTACTTCCCGCGCGTTTACCCCTTTCCTTCCTCTCTAGTCTATCTCCATCAAACAATTAGCTTCCTGAAGCCGGCAGATTTTGAGGATTTCAGGTACATAATATGTAAATTTCCAGAAATGAAATGTGAAATGTGCGAGACTAATAAATTTCACCGAATAATTTTTTTCGATGATGAGCAGATATGAACAGACGCTCGCACTATTTTTTATAAGCTGTCACGTGTAAGGAAGTTAATTTTCGCATCTTCCTTCTTATGATGCGAAATCAATATTTCCTATCGAAGAAAAGACGTGTAATTAATCATTCTCAACTATGGCGACACGTTATAAGTTATAACGTATATTTACGTAAGTGTGACGTGTGACCAGTCATAGTCAGTATATGTGAGCGTTGGCTCAGCAACTTCCTGTGAAAGGTGTGGTGCAATTTTCCCACGCATATATCTGCGCGAAAGACATAGCAGGACTCAATGGAACGGAATAAGTCATGGAGTCTATGACCGTGTCATCGCACTTAGAACATAGACAACATAATCGAGTGAAACAACATAAAAGGCAAGTACTTAGAACCCCTGCATAGTGTAGCAACCAATATTACACTCAGGTTATACATTCAGATGATACTATCAATGGGATATCCATCACATTCAGACTCGCGTTCAGCCTTTATTCGTCTGCTTGGCTACTCTCCTACCTCTCCCCTTTCACCTTTGCGTAGCGCCACGCAATACGCTACAGTATAGCTGATAGGGTCTATGTCCCCCGGGGTACTGCCGGAACGTACCCTGGGTACGGTCCGGTATACCGGAACGTACCCTGGTACTATAATATTATATGCCGGACCGTACCTAGCCTACTCCACTAACGAGTACTAGGGAGTCGCCTACGCCTACTCCCTAACCCGAACCCGAACCCGAACCGTTCCGGTACGTACCCTGGGGGATATAGACCCTATGAGCTACAGGCTGCTATAGTTGCTCAGCACTAGCTGATGCCTGCACATCGACATCCACACCACAGTGCTTTCCCTCTTCTTACGCTTGCACTACTCACCCTTTTCAGCTTACTGGGGTGTTTAGAATGCTGGGTCCACACTTGTTTGTCTTACGCGCACCGCCATCACAGGCTAACTACAGGTTTACCCAGTAGGTTTACACATGTTATTTACACAGCTGACTATGACCCACAAGCGATAGCACACGATCAGTAACTATTACATTTACGATCTACGAAGTACGTGGTGATTTACATTGCGCATTTGTTTTGTTTGACTCGAAACCCGGCTATAAACCAAGGTGCACAAGTTGGTGCAAACAATATGCCAACAATGAACATTCATCTCTCTTTTCTCTTCCGTTTTTATCTCCCCTCCCTCCTGCCCTCTCTCTCTCTCTCTCTCTCTCTCTCTCTCTCTCTCTCTCTCTCTCTCTATCACTATCTCTCTCTCTCCATCCCCCCTCTCTCTCACTATCTCACGCTCTCTCTCTCTCTCTCTCTCCCCTCTCTCTCTCTCCCTCCCCCCTCTCTCTCTCTCTCTCTCACGATCTCCGTCACTGTTGCAGGCAGCTGAAGGAGGAGGGGAAGGAAGATGTACGCCAGGTCGCTAAAAAGAAGCTCGCAGAGCACGAGAAGAAGGAGAAGCGGCACCACGCGGCGGCAGCGAAGGAAGGTGGAGCGACCGCAGCCGAGATGGAGCCTCTGAGGGGGACGACGAACGAGGAGAATGCCAACAACAACGCGTCACAACCGGCGTTCCACATACCGTTTGCAGACGACCCGGACTCTGGGTGAGGAGGAAAGGGAAGGAGGAGGAAATGGAGGAGGGAATGAAGAAGGCACGATGGGAGGGAGCACATGAAGGAAGAAATAGAGGAGGGAACGGAAGGAGGGAATTAAGGAAAGAAGGAAAGGAACGATAGAAGGAGATAACGGGAAAGGAGGGAACACAGGAGAGGATGGGGGATGAGCGAACGGATGAAGAAGGAGAATGCGAGGAGGGATCAGGAGAATGTGGGAACGAGGAAAGAGGGGTACGAGGAAGGAATGAAAAATAGAGTAAAGGAATGAATGATGAAATTGGGGAAGGAGGTGACAAAAATAGGATTGAGCCTTTTTTCAGAATCAGAGGAGCGACTTTTTAAACGGATTACAGCCGCTGTGATGTAATCAGCAAAGCAGCGCTAATCTTGTTACTCAGCGATGGGGCGACTAGGCTGTGATTGTGTCATTTTGGTAGTAGACCCGCTTACTAGTTGCTTACATACTGCGTTTCATATACGAAACAGAACCAAGGACGCGTTAGAAACTATATTGTCACAGACTCACGAACTTTATGAGATATTTATGAGCCCAGCCTGACCTCGAACAGCTGGGAAACACTCACTAGGCCTGCGTCCAACCACACAATACGCAGGCACCGTTCACACAAATATTCCCACGAGGCGAAAACGCATCTGTGAACACAAGCCGTCCGTCCACCACTCCCATATCCTGTGGCTAGGCAACGCTAGAGTAAATGATTGCAACTATCATTACCACATCTAGACTGGCTCCCGGAGCACTTGCGCCGAGAGCTCGAGACGGTTCTCGATGACGTACAGAGCCATCTAGCGAGTAAGACACAGCAGACGCGCTAGCAGCAAACAGGTTGTCTGCAGGGCACGCAGTCGGCAACCAAACTGCTACGCGGGGGGGGGGGCAATCTAGGCATTATTTTTAGAAAGGGAGTTGGTGACGTAAATGAGAAGGGATTTGGAGGGAGAAGTAAACACCCTCAGACATTTTCTTAGAGTTATACAGTTGAAATCCGATTGATTCTGACTATATATGTGATATTTAGAAAGCACTTCATTGCTTTTGAATTTAAAAGTGGTTGTCGCACACTGAAAAAAATACAGCTATGTAGTTACGACTGGTGAGGGTTAGAGATAGGTTGTTACTGCGACAAAAATTCGATATGTGAAATGTTTCAGAAGAAGATAGGGAATAAGTGGTCATCGCCCCTGGATCCTCTGCTACCTATGACCGAAAAAAGAATGTAATTTTATTACCGGCAAGAAAACAGAAACAAACGCTTCAAAGGGGTGCCCGCCTGTTAAGTAACCCTCGCGATAATTAATCAACCAGTTTGCGCACAAAAGACCAGCCAGCGGTGTAAAACAAACGGCCCGGTTTTTCGACTGGTATGCGTTGCTAATCGCGTGTTGGGTGTTCTATTCGTAGGCATCAGGAGGACTGGATACGAACGCCGGACAGTGAGGGTCCCCTCACTCCCGCAGAGGACAGACTGGGCAGCGGCAATTTCTCAAAGTCACAAGGCGCCGGCGAGCCGGCCTTTCCGAAATTCGTGGCCAAGCTTCAAGCCGCCAAGAAGGGAAAGTTTGACGAACGCATAAGCATTAACATCAGTGGACTCAGGTATAAAGGTAGCTCGACCCTAGAGCTACATATGCAGTGCAGGAGTGAAGCGAACCCGGTTACCTACCTCGATTCCCCCGGGGGCAAACGTTGATTCATATAAGAGTCATTAAGACCACAATAAAATTGATCCAAAATAAGTAAAATGAACTAGGGCAAACACTACTCGCATAAAACTTCTTTAATCCTTTGACGAGCAGCATTGAACACCGCGTCTCACAGCCTCCACACGAACTCTATGCTACACACGTTTATAGCCAGCCCAGTGTGAACACGCACGCACACACATACACGCACGCACACACATAGATAGGCAAATTCCCACTCAGACACACACATACCACACACGCCCATCCTACAAAAGTGAGCAAATAAACGTAGGCGCACCCACGCACACAGACATACACGCACGTACGCACGCACCCACGCACGCACGCACGCCCGCAGGTACGCACCCACGCACGTATGATCGATTATCAACGGTTCTTGAGTATGCGTGGGCTAAGACCTTGTAAACGGTGCTGTAAGCTACTATGCATTAGACGCGTAATAGACGTGTAAGTACTACGATAGAAACTATATATGAATAGAACGATAGATAATACACTATGATAGAACGTATACCTAACCTCGATCGTATACCTATCGTATATCTAATATTTGAACTAAACTTTGAAACTAAACTAAATTTTGAACCAACTTTACGGGCAGACCCCGTCGACTATCAGTAGAGTGGGGAGGTGCGGGTGTTCCGCATTAAAATGACTGTTATAGGTACGAGAGCACCTAGCGATACATAAACCCTAAAACCTTTTCTTTGATTTCAAACCAGAGATTGCGACGTCACTTTTGGCAATTCCTAGATGCTCGAGTCGTGGCTATCGAGAATCCAAATTCCTAACAGAAACTGTCACCCCCCCCCCCCGTCACTTTCGTTACGCACACCACGCACGACACCGCTTCTGCTGCTGCTCCTCATAGGTTCGAGACGTGGCGATCGACGCTGAACCGCTATCCGGGCACGCTGCTAGGCGACAAGGACCGGCGGCACAAGTACTATGACGCCGCGACGAACGAGTACTTCTTCGACCGGCACCGGCCGAGCTTCGACGCCATCCTCTACTACTACCAGAGCTGGGGCCGGCTCGAGAGAGCCACCAGCGTGCCGCTCGACGTCTTCTCGGAGGAGATCAAGTTCTTCGACCTCGGCGCCGACGTGTACGCGCGCTTCCGCAAGATGGAGGGCTTCGTGGCGGCGAAGGAGCCGCCGATGCCGCGCAACGAGCTCATGCGCCGCGTCTGGTGCCTGTTCGAGTACCCGGAGACGTCCGTGTGGGCGCGCATGATCGCCATCGTCTCCATCACCGTCATCCTGACGTCGATCGTCAGCTTCTGCGTCGAGACTCTGCCGGTGTACCGTGAGCGCTACGAGAGCGGCGGCGGCGGCGGCGGCAACGCGACCGCGCAGTCCGTCGAGAAGATGCTCGCGAATCCGTTCTTCGTCGTCGAGACGCTGTGCATCGCGTGGTTCACCGTCGAGCTGACGATGCGCTGGGTGTGCTCGCCGAACAAGCTCGTCTTCTGGAAGTCGGCGCTCAACATCATCGACCTCGTCGCCATCGTGCCTTACTTCATCACGCTCGCCGTCGACCTCGCGCGCGACACGGGTGACGACGGCGGCGGCGGCGGCGTCTCGCTGTCCGTGCTGCGAGTGCTTCGGCTAATCCGAGTCTTCCGCATCTTCAAGCTGTCGCGACACTCGCAGGGCCTGCAGATCCTCGGCCTCACCTTCAAGGGTTCCATCAAGGAGCTGGTCATGCTCGTCTTCTTTCTCGTCATCGGCGTCATCCTGTTCGCGAGCGCCGCCTACTTTGCCGAGACGGACGACGCCGTCGCTGGCGACGGATACGAGAGCATCCCGGCGTCGTTCTGGTGGGCGATCATCACCATGACGACGGTCGGCTACGGCGACGTCTCACCGCAGACAGGCTGGGGTAAGCTCATTGGCGCCTTCTGTGGAGTCGCGGGCGTACTAACGATTGCGCTGCCCGTGCCGGTCATCGTGTCAAACTTCAACTACTATTACCACCGCGAGATGGACAACAGCAACACCGAGGACCAGGTGGAGAGTAAGTACGAGTCAGAGGAAGCAAACAACGAGCCGGGTGCGATAGAGTTGCAGGTGATAGAGTCGTAACCATGGTAACACGGGAGAGGTTGCCGCTAATACTTACAGCTGCAGGTGCTACGGTCATAACCATCGCAAAATGGAAAGGGCTTCGCTTTGGTATAAAACTAAAAGTAATAGGGTCCTAACCATGTTACCACAGAAGGGGCTTGCAGTCATAACCATGGTTACGCAGAAAGGGCTGTCAATGCTACTAACACTCGTGATAGATAACCAGGTTGAGGGTTGACTACACTAGCCAACGACGTCGCTCACTTATGAAAGGTAGACTTACTTTTGCTGGACCACTGACTTGCACAAATGCCAAAATAGTTTGGTTGTCACGAAAGTGATCCTTTCTAAAGGCGTCGCTATAACGTCGCTAAACAGTTGAATCGAGGTCGGATAAAGGTCTCTGAACGATTGCTGAACCAAGCTATATAGTATGCTTATGCAACACCAAAATATTGGTGCTGAAATTTGGACATTCTATCGTCGTTTATGTGATTGTATGTCTTGTTATGACATATTTTTGATTTTATAGTAACAAGATGTATATACGTTTCATCCCATCTACACTTGGGGTGATTTTTTGCTTGTTTAAATTTTTATTATATGCAATTATTTTAGATGCATTTAAAAACACATCTAGGTATCTTTCAAAAATGAAATTACACTCTCAGTGAGAGAGCTATTTTCTATGCAATGATGACCTTTATAATCTTATCAGGAGTGTATCAATTGATACACTCCTGATCTTATCACATATACAGTTTTATAACACAACTATTTTGAACCGAGATACATATTTTTCTACATTGTTTTGTATTTTGTATCAAAAATTAGTAACAAATATATTTTGAAGCAAAATATAGTAGCTTTGTACTGTTAGCCCTAGTAGCTGCATACAAGGGTTCGCAGCTGTCCATAGGGATTGAAACATTCCAATACGATTTAAAATCTTCATCACATATTGTTAGTTCTTAGTTCTTGTTGTTAGTTGTTAGTTGTTAGTTGTTAGTTGTTAGTTGTTAGTTGTTAGTTCTTGTTGTTAGTTCAAAATCTTTCAGATATTGTTAGTTCTGTTATATCATAAGTCACATATGCTCTAACATAATCGCTTGAAGTAGGTCTGCTAATGTGTAAAGGTTGCTCATTATAATCATGATGCCTAAACTAATAGTAAAATTAACACATTCCTCTTTAGTTACTATTTTAACGAGCTATAGTTATTTGTCATTAACAAAGGGTAATCAGATTAACATTGTTTGATAAATTGTGCAAGTGTATGTTTGCCTCATCATCATGTTCAGCATGATATTCCCTGTTCAAGTTGTGATTTTATTGTCAATAGTGAAGTAATATGGCAATGCACATTGTGCATTATTGCAAATAAAATGTTTCATAAAGCTATAAATAAATACATTGCATTATGTCATATGTCAATTATTACAAGAACCTGTAGCATGTCTTTCAAATGCCATGAATTAATTATGGAATAACACATCCCTGGTCTTATGGCCCCCTGCAATGGTTTGCATATGACGAGTCGTGCCTTCATGCTTGTGTTTCAGAGATGCTGGCGATGGCACGCCAAACATCACATAGCATAGCCCTCGGCTTAACGTCCAACCGAGATGACGAGCAAACCCTTGAGTCATAATTGCACCAGCACAGGGGTGAAACAGGGGATGAAGAGCGCCCGGTGAGCATCTCATCACACAGAGAGCATATTGCAAAGATGCTGATGGGTTACATGATTTCATGCCAAAGAAGGCTTAACCGTGGACAGAGGCTGTATGAAAGGTAGCTGGTAAACAAAGATACCAATGCCATTAGTGTGCGAGGAGAATACAAAAGCTGTGGTGCTCATTGTCAAGATAAATGTGAGTGTTGTGATGTGTGCTGCCAATGTTATCAAAGTATTAGCTTGAGATATGTGGTACCAAGTTAACATTGAACACTACAAGTTTATATGTAACTTAAATAATTGGTAGATTAACTGCATATTAAGTAATAGGTAACTAGC